GCCTACAGGTTCATTGGAACGCGCAAGCCCCCTCACCACGACAAGGTGACAGTCCATCAAGGGGGAGACCACTGGCATCTCCTCCAAGGCCATGAGCATCATGAACTCCTTTGTCAACGACATCTTCGAGCGCATTGCCGGCAAGGCCTCCTGCCTGGCGCACTACAACAAGTGCTCCACCATCACTTCTCGGGAGATCCAGACCGCCGTCCGCCTCCTGCTTCCCGGGGAGCTGGCCAAGCACGCCGTCTCGGAGGGCACCAAGGCCGTCACCAAGTACACCAGCTCCAAGTAGACTCCCAATGGAGACCCTAAACAGACCAAGACCACCTCCCACCTGGAAACCGATGCCCTCACTGTGGGAGAAGATGCAGGTCAAGAATAGGGCTCCATAGCCACATACGGACCCACCCCCAGGACACCGAACTTGGAGGACCATCATCCTCAGACTACGAGGGATCGCCTAAGTACATAAGTAAGACACCTTCTGCTGTCAAGAATTCAATGACTGCACATTGCTTAAGTTGCATTGACCACAGGTTCCATACTTCACATTTAAACAACACAACCGTTCAATGCTAAGGCTTCCTGCCAAAATGGAACTGTAGAGGAGAGTCTACTGAACAAGCCAGTACCTGTCACATATCAGTACTGCCATCTGTTGAGGAGTTACAAAGGTGGAGACATTACACAACCACTCAATGCTAACGCTTCGCACCAAAGTGGAACTGTAGAGGAGAGTCTACTGAACAAGCCAGTACCTGCTGCATAGCAGTACTGCCGTCTGTTGAGGAGTTATGAAGGTGGAAGCATTACTTTTCATTCAACCCTTGTAGTTGCCCAGGAAGCTTCTAACAAACATTTAGGTCATTAAATGGCCTTTCATTTCATCTATATATCTCAATATTTCCTGGGCTCCACAGTTACCTACGAACCCACCCCCAGGACACTGAACTTGGAGGACCATCATCCTCAGACTACGAGGGATCGCCTAAGAAGAAGACTAAAGTGCTACTCACAGCTTCAAAACCTTTCCCCATTTACAGTTCAGAAACAGCTTTGAGAATGTACTCTTGAAATTCCTTTTGCCTTCCTTAGAAATGTTTCATGTGCTTCTTTTTGAAACCAGAGACAGTTTGATGGAAGCAGTTGACATTTTTTTAATTGAAGGGTGAATCAATCTCTTTTTTATTCTGACAGGTATCACTAACACTTTTGTCTCTTATGAGTGTTCTTTTGCCGTTGCTAATATGCCACTTACACGAATTGAGATGGTATGATTAAAACTCAAGAAATACAATCCAACATTTGGCTGTGTTCCCTTCTAATCTGGCTGCTCCCCTCCCCTCTGCAAAGCTCGAGGCTCAATCTATTCTGACTAAATGCACAGATGTCTATAATATGCAGTAGACAGGAAAGAGGGTGTATGGTATAGAGTAGTGTGATACTTCTCATATAGGTATTCAATTTATCCACATTTCACATAAGTATACTCTTCACATGGTAAGGGGTGTATCTCACACAATTTTACTCCGAACTTGATAAGATTCTCAAGTGTAACCAAGGTTTCAAATGAGGTTAATAATCCATACTTAACATAAAGCTATAGGTAACGCTTACTCTAGTAGTAGTAGTTGTGGTTCTGTAGAACAAATGAAGTCCAAAAATGGTCTTATTGCCGTCTTAAATTTGTTCTTAAGTCTTCATAGAGTCAACAAACAGATTAATGTACACATAAATGTTCAAATTCTTCATGTTCAAATTCTTGGCCATCCCTGACACCCAGAAACAACAACAATAATAAAGGACTGAAACTACAACCCTGTGGAAAAGGAGTTATCCAAGAGTAAATCCACGTCAACTTCACTCACATGAAGAATTTGAACATTTATGTGTACATTAATCTGTTTGTTGACTCTATGAAGACTTAAGAACAAAGGAAAGGAGGGATGTCGCTGATCTAATTTCCCCGGGGACTGAATTCCATAGGTGAGGGGCCACCACTGAGAAATCCCTGCTCCTCATCCCCGCCAATCTCACTTGTGATAGAGGCAAGGCAGAGAGCAGGGCCTCCCCAGAAGATCTTAAACTCCGAGGTGGGATGTAGAGGGAGATCCGTTCGGACAGATACGCTGGTCTGGAACCGTATAGGGTTCCGTTTTAAAGCCAGAGAAGCCAGAGGGAGGAGGGAGCAAGTTTGTTTGCTGCTTCCATGGAGATTAGGACAAGGAACAATGGCTTCAAACTACAAGAAAGGAGATTCCACCTGAACATGAGGAAGAACTTCTTGACTGTGAGAGCTGTTCAGCAGTGGAACTCTCTGCCCCGGAATGTGGTGGAGGCTTCTTCTTTGGAAGCTTTTAAACAGAGGCTGGATGGCCATCTGTTGGGGGTGCTTTGAATGCCATTTTTCCTGCTTCTTGGCAGAATGGGGTTGGACAGGATGGCCCATGAGGTCTCTTCCAGCTCTAGGAGTCTATGATTCTATGAAGGAATGTCATTCACACTGTGACTCTCATGCAATGACTGATCAAGACCAAACTTGGCACACAGAGCCCCCATGACCCACTCTCCATCCTGGAGCAGTTTGGAGGATGATGGACCACAGATGATGGGACTTGCTGTACCTTCACTAACTTCCTGAGACTGCTGTGAGCCATATAAATAACTGATAAAGACCAACCTTGATACACAATTCCTTTCTCAAATAACACTGTTCTACAAATTTTCAGTTTTTCTCAGTTACGGAAACGAAATGTGCCTTTTCTTAATAAAGTTAACATGCTGAATTCAAATATAATAATTAAATGTGTCAATTGGCTCTGGTTTTTATGCAACAGCTATTTCAATTTTCTCCACAATAGGTAATTCGTTAATTATGATAATGCGCCTAACCTTACTGCATGTATATAAACCGTGAATATTTACTAAATTTTAGTCAAATTATATTGCCAATATTTATACATGAGAAATATTTATTTAATTAGTCTATTGTTTATGTTTGTGCAGCAAGAAACTCTATTAGTAGGCCTAATGCAGTTGAAAAGTCTGAAAGTTTCAATGTCGCTTTAATCGTGACTTTAGTTTATATCCTGTTTGCTTCTCTTGACTTTTCTTTTGCATTCAAGGAAAGGATTCTCTCTCACAAGGCTCCAGCAGGAGTCTGACAGCATTGACGGAGTCCATTGGCCTTGATCTTTTTTTTCCATAGTGCTTTATTTATACCCGTGCGAGGAGGCATAACGACAGTCAAAAGAACAATGTAAAACAATGTTTAACGAGACTGTCTCAGTCTTCAACTGACTGACCCTCACCATTCACCAGACTGGATGACTGCAATGCGCTCTACGTGGGGCTGCCCTTGACAACGGCTCAGAAATTCCAATTGGTCCAACGGGCAGCAGCCAGGATGCTAACGGGGGCCCATTACAGAGAGAGGTCAACCCTTCTGTTTAAGGAGCTCCACTGGCTGCCGTTTATTTTCCGAGCCCAATTTAAGGTGCAGGTGCTTACCTACAAAGCCCTGAACGGTTTGGGACCACCCTACCTTCGTGACCGCACTCACTCTGGTCATCAGGAGAGGCCCTGCTCGTGATCCCGCCCGCGTCGCAGGCGCGTTTGGTGGGGACGCGGGACAGGGCCTTCTCTGTGGTGGCCCCCCGCCTCTGGAATGCCCTCCCGAAAGATCTCAGACAGGCCCCTACCTTGGCGGTTTTCAGAAAGAACCTGAAAACCTGGCTGTTCCAACGTGCCTTCTCAGATTAGGAACCCCACTACCAAAGCCCAGAAGCACTTTAGTAGAGTTAAGATCACCCTCACCGCACACTGCACTTATATTTTAATCCCATATCCCTCCGACACTTCAGCACTTTTAATCCTGTACCCTACTCCTGGCCGGCTCAGTTTTTAATAATGTCCTGTTGTATTGCTATTGCTATTGTTTTCTGCTTTAACTGTTTTATTTGCTATGTATTGTATTGTTGTATTGTGTTGGGCTCCGGCCTGTTGTAAGCCGCATCGAATCCCTTGGGAGATGCTAGCGGGGTACAAATAAAGTAATAATAATAATAATAATAATAATAATAATAATAATAATAATAATAATATAAGTCTGGCCTTATAGAGGGCTTTCTGGCTTTTGCACACGGCACTAATACTGCGTCATCAAACTTTCTAGAATCTTCCATAGTGTAAGTCGCAACATGCATTTTTTCAACCATACGTGATCACGTGATTGCTTATATCATAAAAACTAGAGCCAATATACATTTTTAAATGTCATTTTCGTTTTCAGCACCCCAAAATCATAAAAGAACAGCTATTTTCAGGCCTGAAACTTTTTCTCCGTTGAACAGTGTAACCCGGGCAGCGCCGGATCCCCAAGCTAGTATGAAATAAATAACCATTTTCTTCCACTTGTTTATTTGAGTTCTAACAGCTATTTATTATCCGAGGGATCTTCAGAGGGATGCCCCTGATTTCCCCCTTAACGTCTCTCAACCCTGCTGAAATAATTTCCAATTCGCAAACATTACCAGGATGCCACTCTTGGAAGTCAAACGGGAAACCCCGATGGCAGATCCTGCCTGGGAGTGACATATTTTTTGAGAGAGAGAGAAAAAAAAATCAGTTCCAAGTGTAAGTTTAAAAATGTAACTAAAAGCCTTCATCAAAGTTTAAAGAGCTCTGGAGCTTTTAGCGGTTGCTTATTCTGATTTATTGACACTGACACACCCAAGAACAGTCAACTCTGATGAAGCAGTGAAGTAATGGACTTTGGGGGCAGGGGGAGGTAAAGGGGGGGGGGTGACGGGGAGAAGTTATGATTCCCCCCCCCCAATGCATGCACATACACACACACACATGCACACATACACACATAGAGAGAGAAGGTAGATGCTCCTGGAGGCAGGAGAGTGCCCACTGATTACAGCCCACTAATTTGTTATGCACTCCGGCAAATCAGCGGTGATTCATATGACAAATACGGAGGAAAAATTAACAGCTGTCATGTTTTGATGTGTTAATTTCCTGACATTCTCTGCACTGAAGCCAATTACTGATTTAAGGGCAGAGAAAGAGAGAGGAGGAAAGAAGGAGAGAGAGAGAGGACCCTGTTCCAGCTTCTAATTAGGATTCCTCAAGACTAAAAGGATGAAAGCCAAGGCGGGAGGGGGGGGGAGGACCCACGAAGAAGAGAACGGAGAACGGAGGCAGGTAGCTGGAGGAGCTTCAAGCCTGTAGACTTCCGCCCCCCCCCCCCATGCCGCCTCACCAAGCCTCTGGTTAAATAGTCCTAAGTGTGTTTAAG